TCGTCGTCGTCGTCGTCGTCGTCGTCGTCGTCGTCGTCGTTGTCATCGTCGTCGTCGTCTTCGTCTTTGGCGCCGGCGTCGTCGTTGTCGTCGTTGTCGTCGTCGTTGTCGTCGTCGTTTTCGTCGTCGTCGTCGTCGTCGTTGTCGTCGTCATCGAATTCGTTGGAGTCGCCGTCGGTGTCGTCGTAGTCGTTGTCGGCGGTGTCGTCTTCGTCGTCGTTGTCGCTGCCGTCGTCGGCGTCGGTGTCGTTGCCAAATGCCATCTGGTGCTTACCGTCACGGTCTTCAGGGATCTTGCGACCGAGGTGCGGGTGGGAGGGTGTTTTTTTTTGTGCGCGAGCGGCGGGGGGGGCAGCTTGAAAGTTGAGCAAGTGGTTGTCTGGCCCTATGTGGGGAGCTCCGCCGAAGGCCTCCGTGGCGCCGCCCTTTTTCGGGCGACGCCCCGTGTCAGCCCACCCCTTTTCTGCCAGCGGCCCAGATGGTGCCGCCCGCGTGCGGCCCCGTGCCCCAGTCGGCAGACCATTCGCGCGCTTCGTGGCCCCATCGGGAGCCCCGCCCAAGGCCCAAATGGTGCCGCCCGCGTGCGGTCCCGCATCCACTTCGGCACTTCCTCGCGCGTGTCGAGGCCCCCAAGAGAGTTCCAGCCAAGGCCCAACCTGTGCCGCCAGCGTGCGGTCCCGCGCTCATTTCGGTACGCCATCGCACGTTGTCTGGCCCCATGAGGAGCTTTGTGAGAGGCCCACGTGGTGCCGCTTGCATGCGGTCCCGCACCCATTTGGGCATGCCTCTCGCACGCCTGGCCGCCCCGTGGGGAGCTCAACCCAAGGCCCAACATGTGCCGCCCGCGGGCGGTCTCGAGGGGGAACTCCACCCAAGGCCCAAATGGTGCCGCCCGCGTGCAGTCCCGCACCGATGTGTTCGCGCCCCTCACACGTTTCGTGGCAGCATAGGGAGCTCCATCCAATGCCCCAAATGTGCCGCCCGCGTGCTGTCCCGCCCCCATTTCGCCGCGCCCCTCACGCGCTTCGTCGCCCCATCCGAAGCTCCACCCAAGGCTCGCGTGTTGCCGCCTCCGCGGTGTCCCGTGCCCATGTCGGCGCGCCCCTCGCGCGCTTCGTGGCCCCATGTGAAGCTGCGCGCAAGGCCTAGACCGTGCTGCCCGCGTGCGGTCTCGCGCCAACTTCGGTGCCTTCTTCGCGCGCTTCGTGGCCCGAAAGGGAGCTCCACTCAAAGCCCGAATGCTGCCGCCCGCATGCGTCCCCGCCGCCGATTTCGCCGCGACCCTCGCGCGTTTCGTGGCCCAGCGGGGAGCAGCGCCATGCCCGCGCGACGCCGTCCGCGTTTGTTTTCTCCGCCAATTTCGGCGCACCCCTCGCGCGTTCCGTGGCTCCATAGGGGGCTCCACCCGAGGCCCGCGTGGTTCTGTCCGCGTGCGCCCCCGCCGCGCATGTCGGCGCGCCCCATCGCGCGTTGCGTGGGCCCGCAAGGATTTTCACCCAAGGTCCAAATTGTGCCGCCCGCCTGCGCCCCCACCGCACATGTTGGCACGCCCTTCACAAGCTTCGTGGCCCCATGGGGATCTCCACCCGAGGCCGCTGGTGCCGCCCGCATGTGATCCCGCGCCCAGTCCGACGCGCCCTCGCGCGTCTCGTGGCCCCATGCATCGGCCCAATGACAATTCCTTGAATTTTTGTGACATCGCTCGCTCGCGGAAGCCAGCGGAAGTAAACCGAGGCGGAAGACTGCGGAAGGCCGCCGGAAGGCTTGCGGAAGACAGCGGGAGTAAATGACGCCCCGTCCGACCCCCCTATCCCCCGTAAAAGCTTAGCAATGTCAGGTGGGATCCCGATTAACGTATTCCTTTTTAATATGATAGTTTTTTATTCAGTCAGGCTAAAATCCCACCCATTGAATAGGGTACACAAATGTCCCGGGTCGTTCACGGATCCCGCCATGTTGGGATCGGCTCGAAGTATGTTTGGGCTCCGAAGATGCATCTTGAGGTCATCTTGAGCTCATATCTCGGTCATGCTTGGATCGCCCGTCGCGTGTCCATTCTGGGGCTACCCTGGGCGCGCATTGATCCATCTTGTTGCCATCAGGCCATCTCGGCGTCATTCGTGGCTCATGTGTTTGGTCATATTCGAGTCGCCCTGGGACGGTGCAGAATCCATGGCGGGATCGTGGTGGGGTGGCGATATCCCAGGGTCGAGTGGACGTTGTTTTTTTGGGCCTGAGGTTCTCTTGGGACCATTGTGTGGCCATGGGGACTTCGTGGTATCTCGCGCGCGTGAGCGCCCAGCACGCGCGCGCGACAACTCATCTCACCGATGGGTGTACATGCATCTACTTCTTGTTGCGAATTTCCAAGGGACCATTTGTTGGAGCCAAATAGGGAGCTCCACCCAAGGCCCAACTGGTGCCGCCCGCATGCGGCCCCGCGCACATTTCGGCCCACCCTTTACACGTTCCGTGGCCCCATTGGACTTTTCACCGAAGGTCCCAGTGGCGCAGCCCGCAGGCGGTCCCGCACCCATTTCGGCACGCCTTTCAATTTTTTCCGTGGTCCCGTACGGAGCTCCACCGAAGGCCCTGGTGGCGCAGCCCGCATGCGGTCCCGCGACCTTGTCGCACCCCTCATGCATTTCGTGGCCCCAGAGGGAACTCCACCGAATGACCTAGTGGCGCAGCCCACATGCGTCCGCCTGCCCCGCCCATGTTGGCACACCCTTTTACACGCTTCGTAGCACCATGAGAGAGCTCCGCTGAAGGCCCCAGCGGCGATGCGCCTGCCCCACCGTTTTAGGTGCATCTCTCACACGCTTCGTGACCTTATAGGGAGTTTCACCGAAGGCACCAGTGGCCATGTCCGCATGCGGCCGTCCCACCCGAGTCGGCACACCCATTGCGCGTTTCGCCTCATAGGGGTGAAATCGATAGCCACAACGACGGCACTCGCAATTGCACATGGTTGGGTTCTTCGCCAGGCGATTTTTGGTGTCCCCCCCAAAACAACTAGTATTGTTGGAATGTGTGTGTGTGTGTGTGTATGTGTGGGGGTGGGGGCACCGCCCCCCCCCCAACAGGAAACCCTAACCCTCCACCCCCCACCTGGGCTCTTGTGGGGAAAACCGCAGGACAAACAAAAACAGTATTTTGTTTGTCCTGTGTTTGGTTTACCCGGGGGTTCCAGGGAACTCCCGCACAGGTCTCTTGCATGGTGTCTCGTGCCGTGTCGCGTTTTTGTCCCGTCCAATTCCCATGGCGTTTATGTCGCAGTCGCGTTCCATTCATGTCTCATGCGCGACGCACTCGCGGCAACAATGGGGCAAGCGCGGAACAAGGAATTCGATCAATTACATCGAAGAACAAGTCCCCGCGAGTGCCAGCCAAGGAAGTCGTGAGTCGTCACGGCCATGCAGCTCGCTACGCCACATAAAGAAGGCCTGTCACAGGCGGGGGCCGACCCGAGCACCCCGCACGCGCTTGCCAGCCTGGCCGCCGCAACCGCCCCCTACGATGCAAGCGCTCGCCAGGGGCGTGGGCAGGGAACAACTGCGCACACTGCGGCATTGACTGGCGACATCGCAGGCGCGCGCGAAGATAGGATTTTCTTTGGCAGTGCTTGCGCGAAGGGGCTCTAGTCAGTATCATCAAACATTTGCAGGGTATTCCTGCTTTCGCCTGGCGGGCGCCCGTGCGTGCCTTTTGGGAGTCGCGTTGGCTGGGTGTTCGGGTTGTCGCCCCGCGGGCGCCCACGGGTGCCTTGTGGGCGCGTCACATCATTGAAATGGTGGTTCGGGTATTCGTCTAGCGGGCGCCTGGTGCGTTGGCTGGCGTGTCGCCTGCGTGACGTGTTTTGTTCATCATAGTTCTCGCCACACGAAGCCTACACAACGCTGCTTGCACCACAGAGCTTGCGCCCCATAGCTTGCACCACAGGCTGTGCCCGATTGCTGGCACTATTCATATTGCATCAGGTAGGTCACACCTCCCGCTTGCTTTTCATTGCTTGCGCCCCATGGGTTGCACCGCAAAGCTTGCGCCACATACCTTGCGCGGCATTCCTTGTCCCGCGCATTTTTCACCACATGACTCGCGCCATGTGGCATGCACTTCACAGCTGGCACCAGGTAGCTCAAACGTCCATGATGCAATTATGCACTGTTTGGGACCCTCAATTGTTTCGTCAGGACGCGGCCTCATACACGTTTTTTATGCACGCCCGTCCAAATCATGCAACCTGAACCGCGAAAGGTGAAGAAACTCATCATATTCAGCATGAGCGACTGAAATGATGATGCAAGGCCGATGCAGTTTTACTGTAAGGCAGCCTGGCAAGTGTATGGTCTGCAGGAGGGTCCGCTGCGAAGTGAGATGACTTCATGTGTCTTCCTGGCATGGGCTAATTCGGTCAGACTACGACTGTCATGTGAAGCCCACGAATCGTTGCGACGTGTTTCGCTCCGAGGGCTGTTTTTGTTTGGGGGGGCATTGCATAAACAATGGAGGTGGTCGGGACCAATCGGCAGCCTGCTCCCACTTCCTCCTCCTCCTCCTCAGCGACGCTCTGGCTGGTATGGTTGCCCGTGCCGGAGATACGCGCGCCCCCGACGGCGAGGGTCTTCGTGCGTGGCTTGCGCTTTGGCCGCTCGCTTCCCGAAGTGTGGGCCCTCGTTTGGTAGGACCTCGCATGGATACGTACTCCAGGTCGTTCGATAAGCGTGGGGGGGTGGATCGCGTGGGGGGGTAGGAAGCCGCTGTCCTTCGGGGGGCGTGGGGAGGTTGGGAAGCGAGAGGGAGTGGGTTTGGGGCGCGTCGGGAGGAGGGAAATGCGCGTCGGACAGGTTGGCACGGGGGGGTGCTTATTGAAGGATCATGAGTACACATTCTAATGGGTTGATGCGGGCAAGTTGTATGATGAATGGCAGCATTGCGGAATTCTGAGCGTTCTGGGGGCCTGCCATTGCGACTTGATGCGCCAGGGACCTCTTCCCTGCAGTATCCTGCTCAATGAAGGCCTCCGTGCAAAGCGCTTGCCTCGGGTCGCCATGCCGGTCCGAGGCGGACACAGGATTTTCGATTCTCTTTCCGGGTCTTGACATTTTCTTGTGTCGCGTGAATCATGTAAGTAGACATGTCGCGTACTCGTCTCATGATCGATACTGTCAATCTCAGTCTTTCTATTGTGAGCTTCCAGGGATTCCGCCTGAGCGTCACAAAATGGTGTAGCTTTTGCGCGAGGAGGTCAATCCAGACTTGACGTTCGCGCTCACCAGTCTTCGCCATTGATGCCGATGAGATGCACGACTTGCTTCTTGCACGATGATGTGTCCTCTTCTGGCTTGATCTTCACACGTAATTCGCTGTACCTCTCATTCTCCTCCTAGCCCGCTTCGCAGGCGCAGCTGCGAGAAATTACGGCGGGGTGGCAGGGCGACGATGGCAGAGATCCACGGAGTTCTTTGTTGTTGTTGTTGTTGTTGTTGTTGATGTTCTTGTTGTTGTCGTCGTCGTCGTCGTCGTCGTCGTCGTCGTCGTTGTTGTTGTTGTTGAACATTATTAATTCTAAAGAATAATTATTGTTGGGACCCCTGGTGCACGGCCCCCCTGCGCCGCCTAGGCCGCAGCTACATTTTCATCATTTTCGTGAGGAAGCCTCAGGTAATTCGATGTGATCAAGATCCGGTTGTTTTGTTCCCCCCCGCTTTCCCTTGCAAAAAACACTATAAAATGACATTTCTTGTTCTAATATAATCAAATTTCAAGAATCCCTTGCAAAAAATAAGGTAAAGTGGACATTCGCGCGCGCAAGACGAAATCCTTCCAAAAGCTTAGTGTTCGGAGCGATTTTAACATAAAAACATCAAAAAACCAATGGTTTTTCAACAAAAAAATGTCAAAATCTCATCCCGCGCGCTCTTGCGGATTCGTAGGAAACCCAACACTTTTTAAACATTTCTGTCAAACGGGCTTTTGCGAGCAACTTTTTCGAACTTCTGCGACAACGGTTGCGCACCTGCCAGGGCCATCATCCCTGTCAAATAATACCATGCGGGACACATTCGTTTTTTCTTCGCGCGCGCACGCCGAAATCTCCAAAAACCATTGGGTTCTTAAGAATTTTACCACCGCGCATCATAAAATCACACGAATCGCACCGTAGGTCCTCGAAAAACACCTGCACGACTTTTCAAAATTTCCACCCGCGCGCGCTGTCCGAATCCTAAAACAACCAATGGTTTTCCAACATTTATGTTACATGAGCTCGCGCGAGCTACTTTCGCACGCTCTTGCAACGGGTGTGGGTTCACAAGTTGTTAAGCCTTGTGGGTTCACAAGGCTTAACAACTTCTGTGGGTGTACGAACGTAGGCTTAACAACTTCTGTGGGTGTGTACTCCACGCCAGTGTAGTAGCCACGGTCGTCCGCAGGCCACGAAGTGAAGTGTCCGAACGTCATAGGGCGGGAAGCTGGGTGTGGGTGGTGGCGAAGAGTCGTGTGGATATTTGGTAGAGCTTGCACTGCCCCCCCACAAAGTGGGGGTATTGGCTGGCGTCGCATGAAAACCCTGGCACTGGTGAGAACACTGAGCGTTCGGGTAAAGTGATTGTTGTTGTTGTTGTTGTTGAACATTATTAATTCTAAAGAATAATTATTGTTGGGCCCCCTGTGTGCGCGCCCCCCCCGCCGCCTAGGCCGCAGCCACATTTTCATCATTTTCGTGAGGAAGCCTCAGGTAATTCGAGGTGATCAAGATCCGGTTGTTTTGTTGTAATCCGCTTTCCCTTGCAAAAAACACTATAAAATGACATTTCTTGTTCTAATATAATCAAATTTCAAGAATCCCTTGCAAAAAATAAGGTAAAGTGGACATTCGCGCGCGCAAGACGAAATCCTTCCAAAAGCTTAGTGTTCGGAGCGATTTTAACATAAAAACATCAAAAAACCAATGGTTTTTCAACAAAAAAATGTCAAAATCTCATCCCGCGCGCTCTTGCGGATTCGTAGGAAACCCAACACTTTTTAAACATTTCTGTCAAACGGGCTTTTGCGAGCAACTTTTTCGAACTTCTGCGACAACGGTTGCGCACCTGCCAGGGCCATCATCCCTGTCAAATAATACCATGCGGGACACATTCGTTTTTTCTTCGCGCGCGCACGCCGAAATCTCCAAAAACCATTGGGTTCTGTGGGTGTGTACCCCACGCCAGTGTAGTAGCCACGGTCGTCCGCACGCCACGAAGTGAAGTGTCCCAACGTCATAGGGCGGGAAGCTGGGTTTGGGTGGTCGCGAAGAGTCGTTTGGATATTTGGTAGAGCTTGTAATGCCCCCCCACGAAGTGGGGGTATTGCCTGGTGTCGTATGAAAACCCTGGCACTGGGGAGAACACCACGCGTTCGGGTAAAATGATTGTTGTTGTTGTTGTTGCTGTTGTTGTTGTTGTTGTTGTTGTTGTTGTTGTTGTTGTTGTTGTTTTGGTTATTGTTTTGGTTGTTGTTGTGGTTGTTGTTGTGGTTGTTGTCGTTGCTGCTGCTGCTGCTGTTGTTGTTGTTGTTGTTGTTGTTGTGGACGAAACCACTGACTGGCGCCCGCCCCCCCCTGGCGCAACGCAACGCAACGCAACGCACGTTACCCCGAATCCTATTAGGATTCCTATGGGGACCCTATAGGGTCTCTGCGAACCTTATAGGGATCCCATAGGAATCCCACAGGAACCCTATAGTGCCTCTACGCATCCTATGGGGATCCTATGGGGATCTTATACGAATCCTATCGGGCCTTTACGAATCCTATGTAAATCCCATTGGATTCCGATGGGAATCCTATAAGGCCGTGTACGAATCCCATAGGAATCCTATAGGAAGCCTGTAGGAAACCTTTCTAGGGCCTTTTAGGATTCCTATAGGAATCCCGTGGGAATCCCATGGGAATCCTATAGGACTTTTCTCGGATTTCTATGGGAATCCCATAGGAATCCCTTGGAAATCCTAGAGGGCCTCCATGAATCATGTACGGATATTACAGGATTTTTTGTTGGGAATCTCATAGGGCCTCTACGCAGCCTATAGGAATCATGTAGGAATCCCAGAGGATTCCTTTAGGGCCTTTACGAATCCTACAAGGATCCTATTTGCATTCCTATGGGAGTCCCAAAGGGCCTCTACGGATCCGATAGGAAGCCACTTGGAAGCCTATAGGAATCCTATAGGGCCTGATTCCTGTGGGAACCCTCTAGGAATCCTATGGGAATCCTATAGGGCCTCTACGAATCCGACGGGAATCCTACAGGAATCCGATGGCAATCCTATAGGGCGTCTCCGATTCCTATCGGACCCCCATAAGAATCCTATAGGGCCTGTACGAACCTTATAGGAATCCGATATGAATCCCATCATAATCTTATAGGGCCTTCTTACGGAACCTATCGGAATCCTATAGCAAACCTAACTAGGAGTCCTATAGGGCTTCATGCGAATCTTGTAGGATTCCTATAGGAGTCTCATAGGATGATTATAGGGCTTTTACGAACCCTATAGGACTCCTATAGGAACCTGATAGGAATCCCAGAGGGCCTTTCCACATCCAATAGGACTCCCATCGGCATCCCTTATGGCCTCTTACGAATCCTATAGGAATCCCAAATGATTTGTATAAGTATCTTATAGGGCCTCCACGAATCCTCTCGGAATCCTATAGGAATCCCATAGGAATCCTGAAGGACCTCCACGAATCCTATAGGAATCGTGTAGGGCACCGATGGGAAACCTATAGGGCCTCCTTGCGACTCTTATAGGAATCTCATAGGAGTCCTATAGGAATTTTTCAGGCCTTTACGAATCCTAGAGGAATCCTGCGGGAATCCTATCTGCCTTTTGGTGGGGTCATTATTAGGAATCCTATCAGAGTCCCATAGGGCCTCTGGCCTCACAGGGAGCTTCTCCGAAACTTCATTTTGGCACACCCCTGTCGAGGATCGTGGCCCTGGCCTCAGGAGGGAGCTCCTCCGAAGCTTCATTTCGGCACATCGTTCTCGAGGATCGTGGCCCTGGCCTCACAGAGGGTTTCTCCGAAGCTTCACGTCGGTACACCCCTCAAGGATGATCGTGGCCGTGGCCCCACAGGGAACTCCACCCACGCCTCATTTCGGCACACCCCTCCCGAGGATCGCGGCCCTGGCCGCACAAGGAGCTCCTCCGAAACTTCATTTCGGCACACCCCTCTCGAGGATTGTCGCCCTGGTCCCACAGGGAGCTCCACCGAATCTTCATTTCGGCACACCCCTCTCGAGGATCGTGGCCCTGGCCCCACAGGGAGCTCCACCGAAACATCATTTCGGCACACCCCTTTCGAGGATCGTGGCACAGACCCCACAGGGAGGCCCACCGAAGCTTCATTTCGGCACACCGCTCTCGAGGATCGTGGCCCTGGCCCCACACGGAGCCCCACCGAATTTTCATTTCGGCACACCGCTCTCGAGGATCGTGGCCTGGCCCCACAGGGAGCTCTTTTCGTTCCCGTGCCGGCCCAACTTCTAACACGCCTCCGCCGTGCAGGAGGCACGGCGGCGGATTTGACTCCCGTGGCTATGGTGGCCGTGCGGCTGACGTGGGCACGCTCCTCTCCCTCTCTGCATTTGTGGTTCAAGCCATTTGGGCATGCGCCTCCCCCCTCTGGGGCAGGCCACCGGGGGACGCCGGGCAACACGCCGGGACCCATTGGGATTCTATAGCATCCATTAGGGATTCTATACCATCCTTTCGGGATTCAATAGCTTCCTTTATGGATTCCATAGCATCCCTCAGGGATTCTATAGCATCCCTCAGGGATTCCATAGTATCCCTCAGGGATTCTACAGCATCCCTTGAGGATTCGATAGCATTCCTTCGAGGAGTCTATAGCATCCCCTTAAGAATTCTATAGCATCCCGGTAAGGATTCTGTAGCATCCCTTCGAGGATTCTATAGCATCATCCCTTAGGGGTTCTATAGCATCCCTTAGGTATTCTATGGCGGCCCTAAGGGATTCTATAACAGCCCTTAGGGAGTCTAGAGCATCCATGAGGGATTCTACAGCATCCCTCAAGGATTCTACAGCATCCTTTCAGGATTCTATAGCATCCCCTAAGGATTATATATCATCCCTTAGGGTTTCTATATATTCCCTTTGGGATTCTATAGCATCCCTTAGGGGTTCTGCAGCCTCCCCTTGGGGATTCTATCGCATCCTTGAAGATTCTATGGCATCCCTGAGGGATTCTATAGCATCCCTGAGGGATTCTATAGTATCCCTAAGGGCTTCTGCAGCCTCCCCTTTGGGGTTCTGTAGCATCCTTTAGGGATCCCATAGCATCCCTTAGGGGTTCTATAGCATCCTTCAGGGATTATATAGCATCCCTGAGGGATTCTATAGCATCCCTCAGGGATGCTATAGCATCCCATTCTTTAGGGATTCTATAGCATCCCTTAGGGATTCTATCGCATCCCTTAGGGTTTCTATAACATCCCTTGGGGATTCTATGGCAGTCCTGAATGATTCTATGGCAGCCTTCCGGGATTCTAAGGGATTCTATCGTATTCCTTAAGGATTCTATAGCATCCCTTAAGGGGTTCTGCGGCCTCTCCTTAGGGATTCTGTAGCATCCCTTAGGGGTTCTGCTCTGCAGCTCCCCCCCTTAGGGTTTCTTTTGCATCCCTCAGGGATTCCATAGCATCCTCTTAGGGATTCTATAGCATCCCTCAGGGATTCTATAGCATCCCTGCGGGATTCCATAACATCCCTTTGGGAGTCTATAGCATCCCTTAGGGGTTCTGTAGCATCCCTCAGGGATTCAATAGCATCCCTTAGGGATTCTGTAGCCTCCTTCAGGGATTCGATAGCATCCCCTAGGGGTCTACAGCCTCCCCTTAGGGATTCCATCGCGTCCCTTCACGATTCTATAGCATGCCCGAAGGTTTCGGCTCGGGGGAGCGTACATAGTTTCAGCTCGTGGGAATGCGTCGGCTTTCTTAAGGATCCCTAAGGATTCCAGAGGATTTTCCAGCGGCTTCCTTTGGTTTCTGTTGCCAACCACCTGTTGCGTTGCGTTGCGTTGCGTTGCCTTGCGTTGCGTTGCGTTGCGTTGCCGGGGATGGGGTCTGGGTCCACCAGGGATGTGTTTCGCCACAGGGAGCGAAACAGCGAGCTGGTGGACCCTCACCGGGTCCACCAGCCGGTTGTTTTGCCTTGTTGTTATTGATCCGTTCTACGGCGCTCGACCCCATGCCCAGCGGAAGAGTCACCGTAAGGGGAACTGTAACCGTATCCGTAAACGTTCCCCCTTCGCGACAATGCACGCCCATTGTTATCTTGACACAACGATTCCCGAGCCTGAACCCAGCAGACAAAAGACCGATCCAGAAAGTATTAGCGCCGCCATCTTGGCGTTTCTTGGCGCATGCCATGGAGGGGAGGAGGAGGAGGAGGAGGAGGAGGAGGAGGAGGAGGAGGAGGAGGAGGAGGAGGGAGGGAGGAGGAGGAGGAGGAGGAGGAGGAGGAGGAGGAGGAGGAGGAGGGAGGAGGAGGAGAGGAGGGAGGAGGAGGAGGAGGAGGAGGGGAGGAGGAGGAGGAGGAGGAGGAGGGAGGAGGAGGAGGAGGAGAGGAGGAGGAGGGAGGAGGAGGGAGGAGGAGGAGGAGGAGGAGGAGGAGGAGGAGGAGGAGGAGGAGGAGGAGGAGGAGGAGGAGGCGGAGGAGGAGGCGGCGGAGGGGAGAGAGGAGGGAGGCGGAGGAGGAGGAGGAGGAGGAGGAGGAGGAGGAGGAGGAAGGAGGAGGGAGGAGGAGGAGGAGGAGGAGAGGAGGAGGTGGAGGAGGTGGAGGAGGAGAGGAGGAGGAGAGGAGGAGGAAGGAGGAGGAAGGAGGAGGAGGGAGGAGAAGGAGGAAGAGGAAGAGGCGGGCGGCGGGGCGGCGGCGGAGGAGGAGAGGAGGAGGAGGAGGGAGGAGGAGGAGGAGGAGGAGGAAGAGGAGAAGGGAGGAGGAGGAGGAGGAGGAGGAGGAGGAGGAGGAGGAGGAGGAGGGAGGATGAGGAGGAAGAGGAGGATGAGGAGGAGGAAGAGGAGGATGAGGAGGAGGAGTCTGGTGCCGCGGCGCCCCTAGTCCTGGCGGTCGCGTGACCTTCGTGCACTTCCCGGGTCACAGCAGCCCGCCCGAGCACCTCGCGAGCTCCATACGGGTCCAGCCACGAGGAGAGAGGTGCGAGCAGGCTTACTCTCACCTTCGGTCTTTGGAGGCTTTTTTCGGGCGGGATGGACCTTGGTCTGCAGGGGCAGACTTTGAGCAGAGTTTTGGCCCCTGGATTAGCAGAGCCATCCGTGCCTTTCCTCCTCCCCTTGCCTTCCTTCGCCCACCCCCTCCGCATCCCCCCCCTCTCTCCTTCTCAGGACTCCGGCGCTGTACATATCACTTACTGGTGTCGTGGAGGTTCTGTTCCTGATTCTTCCTTCAGATGCCTTGGAGAGGCACGGGCAGCCGTTCGCCAGCAATGCGATGGGTGGGGGATCTAGAGCAGGACCATGTTTGCACGTGCCGTCGCCGCTCTGAATCTTTGTTTTCAGCCTCCAGCCGATTGGCTTCCATTCCACTCAGTCTTTTTTGTCGGCTTGATTTTGCGTCTTCGTCCTCAGTCACACTTACCAGATACTCGTGGATGGAGGGTCGGAATGTTGTGAGTAGTATCTTGGCCTCATTCATTTTGGGATGTATTTGATTTCTTGCGTCTTTCCGATCAATGTATTTTGACGTGAGCATGGGCCGTAGCCGAGTCTGCGTTCGTTTGCCGTGACCTTGCGCCCGTGCTGATGTATGTCATGAGTCATTTTTTCCAAGCTGCAAATGTATACATGGACAACGATCAATCTGTCCATGTTGTTGTGAGCTATGTGGCTTGGAATATCGCTCCAGAGGGAGAGAGAGAGAGAGAGAGAACGAGAGCTGAGTTGCAGGAGTTTCCATTTCCGCTGATGGGCACGCTGGTCATGGTTATTTGTATACGCGGGATCCCGTTTGCTTGCCGAGGTGAGGGGGGCTTGTTTTGAATCGCATCATTTGCCTGCAGCAAGTTCGCAACCATGTCAGCTCAGCACGGTGCGGCGACCCTTCTTGAATTGCCTGTAGGGCCTTAACGTGCAGAGTTCTCGATACCTGGCGTTAGAGGGGCGTCACTTGCGATGCAAACTCTCGCAAGTCGTGACGCCTGAGTGTTGCTTTCTTCAGATCCCAGAGAGCCGTAACATGTGGCGCCTCTTTTATTTTCCACTGTCCAAGGGGCCCTAGCATGTAACAGTTCTCGTACCTGCTTGGGGTAACGCCGTAACACGTGATAATTGATTTCCCAGTGGGCTTAGAAGGCTGTGGCGTGATATCGTGGGCTCTTGGCGCTCCAGGGGCCTGCAACATGTCGTTGTGTGTGTTTTTTTTTTTGTTCTCTCTCTCTCTGCCTTTCTCTTTTGTTCTATCTCACTCATATGTATGTACAACAAATTTTATAATAAGCGTATATGTATGCATTTATGCATGTACGTATGTATTTATGTATGTATGTATGAATGTGTGTGTGTATGCATGCATGCGTGCGAGCGTGCATGCATGTATGCTTGTATGTATATGTATACAATACATACATGCGTGCATGCATGCATGCATGAATGTATACAGGCATACAACCACATGCACATACTCATACACATACACATACACATACCAATACACATACACATACACATACACATACGCATACGCACACGCGTACGCATACGCAAACATATACAACACACATACACATACTCATACACATACACATACACACATACACGTGCATACACGCATCAAACATATTTACAAACACAGCTGTACATACATACATATATGCACACATCCATACATACATGCATGCCTGCATACACACATATACACATACATACATTCATCCACACATACATACATGCAATATACATACATACATACATACATACAGACAGACAGACAGACAGACAGACAGACAGACAGACATACAGGCACACATACGTACATACACACATACATACATACATACATACATACATATATACACATATTTACATACATATATCTACATGCATACATACATGCATACATACATACATACATACATGCATACATACATACATACATACATACATTTATACATACATGCATGCATTCATGTATGCATACATACATACATGCAATCATGAATACAGGCATACGCGCACACACACACATCTTTCTTCATGAATCTACTCCCTTCTCTTTATTTTTGCAATCCGGGGAGGTGGGACCCCCCCCAGGCCAGATTTTCCGGAATCCCTGGCTGTGGGTCTCCTGGACGCCCATGCTGAGGGTCCGGGTTTCTGGGAGTTCCTGCCAAGTCGCGTAAACGAGCCGGCGGTAGCCCCAATAGGGTCCAACATGACCTCCTGATGGTTCAAGAGACCTTCCAAACGCCCCGAAGAGCTCCAAGATGCATCCCCAAGTAGGCCTCCAGATCCCAAACCTGTGCGTTTCCTTTACGTTTTCGGATTATTTTGGCATTCTCGTTTTCTCGTGCTACCGTCGGCCCAGGAAGGCCCAAAAGGTCCCCAACATCGGCCCAGGACAACCCGTGACGGCCCGAGAAGGCTTCAGGACGGGCGAACGTGCCCCCATGATCCCCGAAGAAGGCCCCAAGACGGACCTTCAGACCGCCAGCAGGCGCGAGCCCTCCAGCCCTAAAGGACCCACGAAACTGCCAACAGTCGCCCAAACGCCCCAAACAGGGTTCACGAGGTCCCCAATACGACCGAAAATAAACCGAAGGGGCTCCAAGTTATCTCCCAAACCAGCAACATTGCTTCCACGACGACCCCGAGACGCCTCCCCACAGACCCGAACACATCGAAGAGGCCTTTGACGTACGACCCCGCATTGGCGCCCTCGTCCAGCATTTCCACCAAATATGTCCGAATCCCAGTTTCGCGACGTTCGCTCCAGGCACGTGGGTAGGAGGAGGAAGAGGAGGAGGAGGAAGAGGAGGGGGAGGAGGATGGGGTGATGATGATGATGATGATGATGATGAGGATGGGGATGATGGTGATGATGATGATGACGAGGATGCTGATGATGATGCTGATGGTGATGATGATGATGATGATGATGATGATGATGATGATGATGATGATGATGATGATGCTGAGGAGGTGGTGGAGCTTGCGTCGTGGAGAAGGTGAGTCCTCGAGGAGGATGAGGACAGACAGACAGACAGAAGTTGGTACACAGGCGGAATGAGAGGACGGTCAAGTCGACAATTTAGCGATAACTCCTTATTGCCTTTTCTGGCATCGTCGTTCTAATCATGTTTTTCGTTGTCTTTCCTCCATGCTTCTTCTTCCTCATTCTCGCCATACCCTGCGCATTCTCCCCATCGTCCTGAGTTCTTTTTGCGGAGGCTCCTCCTTGGAGAGCCTCTGGGGGCCTCTCAAAAGTGTTTCAATCTTTCTTAAATATTAAGGCCTTCTGGAGGCCTCCTGGGTGTGTTCTGGGGGCCTCTGGGGGCTTCCTCAGGCCACCCTGCCTCCAATCGCGGTCTCCCTGAGCGACCGGGTCACGAGTTGGAATGCTTCGGAGGGTGTCGTGGGGCCATCTTGGGCCGCCATGGGGCTCTCTTAGGGCCATCCAGGACCCCTGTTGTGCCGTTTTGGGGCTCTCTTGGGCTGCCTGGAAGCCCTTTCGGTTTGTTGTGGGGCGACTTCGGAGCCGCCAGGCGGCGTCGGACGCTCAGAAGATCTCCGTCTTGGAGCGTCGGGAAGCCGAAAAGAGGAGAACCCCAAAATTCACCAAAAACGCAGAACAAATCAATGATTTTTGCCTCTTGGGGCCTTCTTGGGAGTGCTCTTGGAGGCCTCTTGGGACGTTTTGGGAGCCTCCCGCTGGCCCGTTGCCAAGGCTTCGCATTGACGTCAGGGACGTCCAGAGGCCCAGAAGTCTCATGGGACCTTTGGGAAGGGCGTCCAGGGGCCGCAGACACGACACAGAGGAGGGACTCCAGGGAGTCTGGGGTCTCCGGATCGGGGATTCCAGGGAGTCTGGTCTCCCGGATTGTAAGATACAGAAAAAGGAATACATACAAGATTGCGTTGGCGGTTCGTGCCACGCACCTTGGCCCTTGAAGTTTGGCGTGCAGGCGGAAGTCGCAGCGGAAGGGCAGCAAGGTAAAGCATACTAATTGGCGATAAATCCTCGTTGTATTGTCCGATTCGTCATCATAATAATGCCATTCGTTATCCTTCCCTAGTGTGTCCTCGTCCCATTCTTGTTTCTGAGGTCCACAAAGGAAGCGGTGATCGTCCCTAGTGGTGATCCGCCTTGGCATTGCCCGATCCTCCTACTCCCTCCTCCTCCTCCTCCTCCTCCCTCCTCCTCCTCCTCCTCCTCCTTCTCCTCATGCTCCTCATCCTCTCTGTCTGTCTGTCTGGCTGGCTGGCTGGCTGGCTGCATGTCTGTCTGTCTGTCTGTCTGTCTTCCTGTCTGTCTGTCTGTCTGTCTGCCTGTCTGTCTATATGCATGTATGCATGCATGTATGTATGTATGTATATGTCTGTATGTGTGTGTATACAAATGTACATACGTACGTATATATTTAACGTAACGTAATGCATTGTAATGTATTGAAATGCAAGGTGCTGTAATGTATTGGATTGTAATTCAGTGTAATGCAATGTAATGTAATGTAATGTAATGCAATGTAATGTAGTGTAGTGTAATGTAATGTAATGTAACGTAATGTGAGGTAATGTAATGTAATGTAATGTAATGTATTGTATTGTATTGTAATGCAATGTAATGTAATGTAATGTAATGTAATGTAATGTAATGCAATGTAATGTAATGTAATGTAATGTAATGTAGTGTAGTGTAATGTAATGTAGTGTAATGTAATGTAATGTAATGTATTGTAATGTAATGTAATGTAATGTAATGTAATGTAATGTAATGTAATGTATGTAAGTCGGTGTGTGTGTGTGTGTGTCTGCCTGTCTGTCTGTATGTATGTATGCATGCATGCGTGCATGCATTGATACATGTGTATGTATGTATGCATGTATGTATGTATGTATGTACTTATGTATGTCTGTCTGTCTGTCTGTCTGTCTGTCTGTCTGTATGTATGTATGTATGTATGTATGTATGCATGGGTATATGTATGTATGTGTGTGTGTGTGTGTCTGTCTGTCTGTCTGCCTGTCTGTCTGTCTGTCTGTCTGTCTGTCGGTCTGTCTATCTGTCGGTCTGTCGGTCTGTCTGTCTGTCTGCCTGCCTGCCTGTCTGTCTGTCTGTCTTTCTGTCTGCATGTATGTATGTATGTATTTATGTATGTAGGTTAATCCTTGGACAATGCATACAGCGGCGCTTGTAGGCATGCCGGAAGCCAAAACCAGCTGCCTGAAACCTCTGCGGGTGGACCGGGGCCCTGGGGACCCTCCAAGGCAGCTCCCAGACGACCCCTGAGGGTCCCAAGACGGTCCTGCAGCCCACCCAGACGGCCCTAGATGGCCTCCAGACCGCCCGAGAAACTTCAAGATGGTCCCAAGACGGCCTGAAGAGGCTCCCAAGAGGTTCCTAAGAGGCTCCCATAGGCCCCCAGGAGGCTAAAATGTTGCAGACACTGGAGGGAAGTCACTGCCTTTCAGGATCTCGCCTTATCGCTTCCAAGGAGCCTTCGAGGCCTCATGATGGTCCAACAACGTCCGTCGAGGAGCCCCAGGAACGCCCAAGACGGTCGCCTGGAGCCCCCAAGACCCTTCAAAATGGCTCCGAGATGGCTGAAGATAGCTTCGAGACAGCCCTCGAGACCGCCAAGACGATCCAGAGAGCCTTCAGGCAGAACCAGACAGCTTAAGATGGCCCCCAGATGGCCCCAGACGGCACCAAAGAGGCTCCCGAGAAGCTTCCAAGAGGCCTCCAGGAGACGAACATCGTTGAAAAACGATGGGAAATAATAGGTTTTTCAAGAACTCGCCTCT